CAGAAGCAGTTCTCTCTGCCTCGGAGGAATCTTTCTCCCTCAGTGGTATGAATCTCTTGGCCCTACTTTCACTGATAATCTTCCCATACGCAGTCAAGGAAGAAGTGCTGAGAGGATTGGGTTTCTCCGGGGCCTCAATATTGCCATGCTGTGTCTTTATCGACCTAAATCAATACTCGCTGAGGAAGCTGGACTCTGCCTTCAGAGGTGATTCCAAGTTCATCTCCTGGCCAAAGCTTACTTTAGTCAATACTAAGACTTAGGATTCCTTAGTCTTAAAATACTTTCTTTTCCACTTAAGCAATACTATGAGGAGTACTTTTTTCCTCTCTTCTGGCTGCTCTAGGCAGTGCTCTATAGATACAGAAAAGTTGTTTTCTTTTTGAATCTGCCAGCTGAGTCTGCAGCCACCAGAGCTGTTTATTTGCTTATCTTAACTTGGTGTTCTCCGGAGTAGACAGTTTTTGTGTGTGATGGGATTCTAATGCAGCTGTTGGTTTGGACCATGCACCATCTGGAAGACAGCACTTAGTCAGCCTTTGAATTGGGAGATGCCCGACCGCTCAAAGCGGCAGATGATTTGTGTTTTTACAGGGATACCTCACCTTATCGGGGTCGGAAAACTCATTTCCAGAAGGGAAGGTGGTATGTGTTGAAGGGGGATGGACACGAGTTAAGCGTTGTCACGCTTGCTCGGAAGGCGGCAGTCGCTGGGGGAACTTGCGCTGCGGACTGTCAGGCCCAGCGGGACAGCTCGCGTACGTGGCATCGCGGTGATTTTCTGAAGTTCCAAGCTGGTCGCTTGGCAAACATGTTCTCAAGGGAAGCGTTTCCAGCCCTCTTCTGCGATGACTTTCTATCCCTTCCACTCGTGAGGGGTGCAGAGAGTCGTGTAACCCAAGAGCAATGAAGGCGCGTGCAGGAGCTCCTGCGGGTTTGGAAGCAGCGTAGGCTGCGGTGCTGCTGTGTTCTGTTCTTGGTCCGTCCCGGGCTCGCGGCCCCTGAGCCTCCCATGCTGTTACTGCTCCTCCGCAGCTGAACATCCCTTGTTTCACAGCGTGGGATGTCAAATGGAATAAATGCAGACACCTTCGTGGTTGTGTACAAATGCTGTTCTAGGAGTTTCCTCATCACTGAAGTTCTTGTTTCTGTCTCCAAAGAATAAATGGAATTTGACTTCTTTTCAATATTATTCTAGCCCAACGCTTCCCTCTTTGAAGCCTGCTGCAATGAACGGATCCAACAATTCGATGATAACGAGGAGGAAGAAGATATCTGGGAAGACAAGGAGATAACCTATGCAACCCAAGTTAAATCAAGAACACGGTAAGGTGAAAACAAAAGGTCAATATTTTTCCCCCCCTCTAAATGCTCTGAAACCGTACGTTTTGGTTAAGAGCAATGCTTCATTGTTGGTTATTTGTGAGGCCTTTTTCTTGCATAAAACAGCGCTTTGCACGGCACACTTCTGCCAAAAGAGGTGGTGGTTTGTCTTGAATGTGAAACAAAGGTCCCGGCTGGGGGAATGCAGTAGTGATGGAAACACCCAGTTACTGAGTCTGTTAGCAAAGGTATTTAAAAAAAAACACCCTCAGTTTGAAATATTTGGCGCTTACTCCTTTCCTCCTGTTTGGGGAGGAGGAGGTTGAAAGGCTGGGAAGGCCGAGGGGAGCAGACAGAACGTTCTTCTTCAGAATGTTAAAAGAAGAAAAGTGGTGTTTTGCCTGCGAACGAGTGGCCTCCCGTGGCGCGACTCTGGCATTGCACATCACTATTTTTCATCCCATTGGTACAGTCAGTTATTAAAGCTGCTTCTGGAATTCTAAGTCTGCAAATGTGATCAAATGAGACAGAAAAACTGGCCGAGACCTTAGCGTTCATTTGCCTAGCGTCAGTGAACTGATGGTCCTGTCCATACACGGAACTGCCACCGCGCCAGTGTTCCCCTTCTCCGCTACTGGTTTGTCTGCTCCTATCAGTCTCCAGCCCCGAGTATGTCGTGGCAACGTATTCCCTGATACAACTCTGCAGATGCAGTTTGACAAGTAAAGCACTTAGGGACTTTAGTGGAAGTACCTAGAGGAGTGGCTGCTGCTGCCTGCTGAGCTTTGTGTCTTTTGGGGAATGAGCCCTGTGAAAGGCGTTCGGCATCGCTCGCTCCGTTCAAATCTGCGCTTGCTCCCCGGCGCAGGGAGGAAGCAGGTGAGGGAGGAACTGGCCGCCCTAAGGGTTTTCCTAATTTTGAGTTCTGCAATTTAGATTTGGAGCATCTCAGACCTCAGAGAGCTCGTCAAAAAGTGATCTTGAGAATGGAGATCATGATGGTAGCGTGGACTCCGAAGAAGAGGAGGAAACGGAACAGCAGCCGCCGCCTTCCTCAGCAAACACAAACAAGAATAATATTTCTGAGCAGAAAGACTCTGACTCCTCTGAAGGTAAAGAGTTTAAAACAGCATCGCCCCCTTTGAAATGAGGTCTGTAAGCATCTCTGCAGAATAGCAGTTTGCAGGTCGCCGGGTGTCGGTGGCTGTTCTCTAGTTCCACCTGTCCAGATGAGAAGTGCATATTTCAGTCTTCATTTTTGGCCCCTGAAATATCAGTGAGGTTGAGCCCTGCCCGGCTTCTTCAGGGCAGCAGTGTGACGCTTCAGGTACCCTAAGGCAACCACAGGGGTAGAAATATCATCACAGAATCATCACAGAATGCTTTGGGTGGGAAGGGACCCCCAGAGGTCACCCAGCCCAACCCCCCTGCAGGAGCAGGGACACCTTGAACCACATCAGGTTGCTCACAGCCCCATCCAACCTGGCCTGGAATGTTCCCAGGGATGGGGCCTCCACCCCCTCTCGGGGCAACCCCTGCCAGGGTTTCACCACCCTCACTGGAAAGAATTTCTTCCTTAGATCCAGTCTAAACCTCCCCTGCTTCAGTTTAAAGCCATCCCCCCTTGTCCTGTCCCAGCTGGCCCTACTAAAAAGCTTGTCCCCCCCTTTCCTCTGGGCCCCCTTGAAGCCCTGACCGGCCGCACTCAGCTCTGCCCGCAGCCTTCTCTTCTCCAGGCTGAACACCCCCAACTCTCCCAGCCTGGCCTCAGAGCAGAGGGGCTCCAGCCCTCGGAGCATTTTAGTAGCCCTCCTCTGGCCCCGCTCCAACAGGTCCATGTCCTCCTTGTGCTGAGGGCTCCCGAGCTGGATGCAGGGCTCCAGGGGAGGTCTCCCCAGAGCAGAGCAGAGGGGCACAATCCCCTCCCTCGATGCTGGCCACGCTTCTCCTGCTGCAGCCCAGGGTAGGGTACAATAGCAAGTACAACAGCACTACTCGCTCTTTTAGTACAGACACTGATGACCAAAGTGTGAGTGGAGGATTATGCCTTGCGACATCAACTCCATACATGACATTGTAAGAGTTTTATGCAGACCCTTGCCGGGTATCGCCACGCTCCGTGTAGCTGCCTTTTCTGCCTAATGGCCTTTCTGCGCTGCACGTTGCAAACCTGTCTTACGGTGCCTGGAGGAAGACTGTAGAGGGACAAGGTTTTCCCAGATCACAGTACAAATAATGCTCTGGAAGGTGAGGAGACACACGGTGGTGTCAGCAGAACAAACCCGATCAACTGAAATAAAGGGACAGAAGTGTTAACGCTCGCTCCTTGTTTGGTGCGCGCATTTTCAGTTCAAAAACGTTTCTTTCCCCAGGTGATGCCTTTGTATTGGAGCTGTGAGCGTAATGCATGTTTATTCCAGTAACCAGCCCTCTACACCCCTTTGGTAGTGTCAGGTATTTTCAGTTCTTATGCGGAAGAACTGGTAGAAACAACACGAATGGCAGCCTGTGGGTAGTGTGCGTCGATTTAGGCCCCCTTCTAGAGACATGGCTTCAAGCTGTGGTTCAATCTTTGAGTGCAGACTTGGTGGATGCCTCCTACTCTCAGTTGTGTTGCATGCAGAGCAGTTTGCACAACAGACCTCTGCAACCCCTTCTCCTTCCTCAGAAAAGGTAATGAAAAATGCTTCTGAAACAAGTGCGCTCTTTCAGCATAGACGTATGTTCTGAGGAGCGAGGAGTAGGCGGGGAAACCAAATTACATTCTTAGGTTTGCTCAAGATCACTTCTGTGATCATAAACATTTTAATCCATATATCCATGACATACCTGTAAGTGCCAAGATTAAACAGTTGGCGATTGAAGTGAAAGCCGTCCCACTTGGCTTTTGACGGGAAACGCCGGTACCTGGAGTTCAGCCGGCTCAAGGAATGAAGACATTCCTAGCGTCACGTTCCTTAATTGACGCCTCTCTCTTGTGGATGACGTCAATATTTGTCCGAAGAGGGATTGTCAAGCTGGTTGTCTGTAACGGGGGAGATTCCTGTAGATGTTGAAGGAGTGCCATCAGACGGCCTTTCTTCTTTTGTCTCTGGGATCACTTTGGAATATTTTTGGGATGGCTGAAGATTCTGAAAACTCATAGGAATTCCAGTCCGTTGTTCTGTGCCTGCAGGGTCGGGATGGACGGCTGTGTTCGAGCCCGTGAACTCGAAGCCGCCCGCACCCTGCGTTGCCATGGATGTTGGATCGAGCGTATGGGATTCGGCAGCCCCCGAGAACACCGCGCCGGAGGAGAAGGGATGGGCAAAGTTTACAGACTTCCAGCCTTTCTGTTGGTACGAGAGGCACACGTGCTCTCAATTTCTTTATACCTTTTGAATGACAGAATATTTGAATACGGACTGATGGGAGTGCCTTGGCTGCCCTATTTTTTTCTTCCCTTTCCCTTCTCCTTGCTGTCCCTTTTTTTTTTTAATATTGCCTGAGTATCCTTGATCAGGGCTTCGCGCTTCCCTTTACCTTCCAGTGCTTCAAACTGGTGTTAGCATTCGTGTCTATGATACAGGAATACTCCATGTATCACCACTGCTGCTACGCTAAGAGCATAAAATAAGTAAATTAATACGGTTTTTAGATGTTAAAAATACTTGTGTAAAGAAAGAGTGACCCCTAATGATTTCTGTTGGGGATATTTAGAAGCACAACCAAGATATCTGTACTTCATTCTCAAGGCTTTTCTCCCCCCCTCCTTTAGCTCAGAATCAGGTCCGCGATGCAGTTCTCCTGTCGACACAGAAAGCAATGATTCCGATGGAAACCCAAAGCAGAGTCAAGACAAGAACCGTAAGTGAGAATGTTACAAGACAAAACAGAGGTATTATTTAAGCTGCTTGAAATTCTGCATAGTGTACCAAGGCTACGGGGGGACCTGCCCCCCAGTGCCTCCTGCCCTGTCTTACTTGAAGAATCGTGGAACCGTTTGGGTTGGCAAAGCCCTTGAAGCTCCCCCAGCCCAACCGCCCCCCTACCCCTGCCATCCCACCCCCAAACCCTGGCCCTCAGCACCGCCTCTGCCCAGCCCTGGGAGCAGAGCCCGACCCCCCCGGCTCCCCCCTCCTCTCAGGCAGTTGTAGGCAGCGATGAGGGCTCCCCTCAGCCTCCTCTGCTCCAGACTAAAGTTCTAAGCACTCCATTTCACACCACCCTGCTTACTCGGTGCTGTCCCTGGGGGCTCGTTCCTGTGGCTTTGGTCATTCTGCAATGTCAATTATTTGCTTTCCTCAGTCAGCACTGCCTCTCCCTGTGTCTGGAACGTCTGCGTCACGAGGAAAGCGCCGCTGGTGGCCTCTGACAGCAGCTCCTCTGGCGGCTCTGACAGCGACGAGGAGGAGGAGAAGGCTGATATCGTCACAGAAACCATCAGCACAGGCTCGGGCCAGGAAACCATCAAGCTGACCATGGATGCTAAAAACGAGAAGGCCGTTTTCACCAGGTGCGAAAGGAATTTCCTCGGGCTGGGGTCCTGCTCTGCCCTGTGTGCCCAGGGGTTAATGCGTTACTGCTCCCTTTCAGACACCATGGGTCCAAACGTCCTGGGCGAGGGTGTCTTACCCTTGTCACGAGGGGTTTATTTTAAGAAAATATTTATAACACGCTTATTTTGAGAAATGTGCGTGGCTCATTTTAGCTGCTGAGCCACGTCGTAGGAGCACCACCCACCCGTCTGTCTGTCTGCACGAGAGATCCAGGCCTGGGCTTGTGGCAGGGACGCCAGGTTGGACCGCACAGAAGAGCCGAGCATAACCTCATGTGACGGCACGCGCGAGGTCTGGCGTGGAGTCAGCGTGCGGCCTTGCACGGGCAAGCTGTAAATGTCTGAGGCTCTCGTTTTCCCCTCGTGTCAGAGCAGTACATAAATGATAAAGAATGAAAAACGCCAGGAAAAGAGCAGGTGCTGAGATTTGTCAGCTTTGGGCAGCAGTTTGGTTGGAATTGCACGTGCTTGAATCTTGCCTACTCCAGTCGTAGAGGGGAATTTGCTTTTTGGAACAGTGAGCACCCAGTTCACTTGGTGCATCCAGGGACCTCACCCAGTTTTAAGATATTTGGGGGTTCTCCTCACGCTCCTCACAAGTACGTGGGGTGCAACATAACCAGTTGGAGTCCCTGTATTTCATGCATCGGCCTCAGGAACAGGTATTTACTCTTTCTAATGCTGTGGTTATGTGATGTTTTTGGGTAGTCCCCATGAGCTGCTTGGCCTGTGTGCGCACTCCAGCGGATCGCTGCTGGGAGGTAAAAAGCAGCGGCTTGGAAAGCGGGTGGGATTGCAGAGCTGGGTAAAATCCTGGAAGTCAGCCCCCGGGGCGTTTGGTTCGGCAGCTCTGAGCTGAGCTTTTCATGACGTGACTGCTCTTTAGTTTTGATGTCCACCTCAAATGGCCTTTGCTCTTCGTACTTGACACGAGTGAGGTGCCTGAGATTTCTTTGCGTGCGGTGATTGCATCTGAGCTGGTTTGGTGAATGGAGTTTGTACGCGTAGGGGTGGCGCGGCCAAGCAGGCTGCCTCCACCGCGAGTGGGAGATGAGGAGAACAAGGACACTGCCTGCCACGCTAAAAGCAGCGTCTCCCCCTCCAGTTTTGGCTGCACGGGAATTCTGTCTAATCCAATCCCGTGGCGTGTGTATCTGAACCAAGCTCTGTGCTCCAGATGTTTCTCCTCTCTGGATGCGCGGAGTTTTTGTTTGGAGTAGTGTTACACATGGGACCGTCCTGATTCACAGGAGCAGCGTAAATCGTGCTTGGCATGTTCTTATCTCCATTTATTTCCTAGCAGGTAGGGAATTTTTTTGTCTGATTTGGCTGGTCAGATGTTGTGGGCTGCGCTGCTGTTTTAGGCGGCATAAACTGGAATGTGTTCTTCTCCCTGTACATCTCGAGTGCTTTCCGTAAGGACAAGGCTTCCAGAACCTGCTTGGTTTTGCCTGACTGCGATGCTACAAAACCAGTTCCATCTTGGCAAAGAAAGGAAATACTTGGATAACCACAGCCTCCACTTCAAAGGTGTCTCTAGCTTTCCACAGCTATAATCGTGGCCAAAACTCAAAATAGAAGCTGTGGGAAGGCAGAAACCTGTGACGTAGAGGGTGATTTCAGATCTGTTTCGTAGCTGGGCTTCTCCCAGGGTGTGAATTGCCGTATCAACCGATGATGGTAATGGAAACTTCCTGGTGTCCTCAGCTCTCCCAAACCCGTCTGCCTTCTATTGGGCAGACACCATTAAACTCCAGTGGCCAGGACGGAATATGTTCATTGCTTACCATGTTCCTTGATGAATCCAAGGCAAGGCACCATACTGAAAGTTTAAGAATTTTTCAGATTGAAGATGTGGCTCTTGCTGACTTGCTGCAAGCACTTCCCTAGCAGCGCTGCACCTCTACCATGCCACATCCCTTTTCCTGCAGAAATGGGTCCTCCCGCTCCTTTTTTCCCCTCCCTGCAATACTGAATCTGCCGTCGAGATCCTGAGCACTCCTTGGAGCTGCACAAGGACTCTGTGGATTCTACCATCAGTAGGGTCGTGAAAGATCCCGATGTTACAGTCCCGGCCTTTCATACCCTCCATCATCATCTCCACTGCTGATGCTTCTCTGCCTGCCCCTCCTGCCCCCGGATTTAAGCTCCGGAAAGTTCACGATTTGTCCTTGCGTGGCTTAGGAGAACGTCCCTTGTGGCAGTTCTGCCTAAAGTAGCCATAGCACAGGTTACAAACCATGCGCAAGGAAAGCGTTTCAGATGTATTTAGGTAACTTCTCTCCACTGTATCTAGCTGACTTCCCAGATCTCATCTGATGCAGTCGTTGCCTGTGGAAAAATAAGTGGGTTTGCAGAAGTTCTCTGGCTAAAGAGCTTCCAGTATTGCCAAGCCTCGCTCTCCGATACCTTCAGAACGCGTGTTGGGCTTTTTACAGTGTGGTGACTCTTCTGCTTTTCTGTATATCGATCTGAACTGTCTGGGGATTGTAGATTATTAAAACACTCCTGCGTATTCTGCTGGCAGGAGCACCGTCGGAGGACGCGGTCGCGAAGTTAACGCTTTTGTCTGTTTTTTTCAGCAATCTTTACTGTTTTCTTTTTCTTCCTCTCTTTGCTTTCCTTCTGTTTCTGCCTCTCTCTTGCTGTGGGTATTGCTCAGAGTATTTAGACCTGCAGTCAGAGGGTACGTATGACGGCGACCTTCCCCGGGTTCCAAACATCCACCAGACAAGTAGTTTCTCCCATTAGTTACTTCAGACTGGGCTGGAAAAAGAGCTGGTGGCCCCGTGGACTGGGGAAGCTCATCCTTTCACCATCAGTCAAAACAGACCCCAGAAATGATATTTCGAAAACCTGCGTGTGAGGTTGCGTGGCGTCCTTTGCGGAGGCACGCGCAGAGTCAACGCCGGTGCACCGCTGAAAAGCAAATACGGCGTTCAGTGCTTCCACGCACCGTGCCCTCGAGCTTCTGCCATTGCGCCTGTTTGTGAGCTCTTTCTGCAAGTGGGACTTTTCTTGTTTTAAGTGGGAGGTTCACGCCGTGCCCAAGGTGACGGAGGGAAGCCTTGCTGACTGCGGTTTGCTAACGCACACCCTCTGGAATCGCTGCCTGCGTTAGGGGCAGGGGCCAAGTCCTGAGACGTTGCCCCAGCAGCACTAACACCTACTAGCATGCTGTAACCCGCCGTAAGAGACCGGTCGGTGTGTTTTCCAAAGGCTTTTTTTTTTTACAAAATACTCCCCCCCTGCCAAGTTTTCTTTCTGTTTTAAATTGTGGGGTTTTACTAATTTTCCAGAATTCATCCATTCAAATGAATTCTCCCAGGCACTGTGCAAGCCAGCAAGACTTTGCTGTAATTCATAGAATCATAGAATGGTTTGGGTTGGCAAAGCCCTTGAAGCTCCCCCAGCCCAACCGCCCCCCTACCCCTGCCATCCCACCCCCAAACCCTGGCCCTCAGCACCGCCTCTGCCCGGCTGTTAAATCCCCCCAGGGCTGGGGACTCGACCCCTTCCCTGGGCAGCCCCTTCCAGCCCCTGACAGCCCCAAGGGGAAGGAATTGTTCCCCATGGCCAACCTCACCCTGCCCTGGCACAACTTGAGGCCGCTGCCCCTCGTCCCATCGCCCCTTCCCTGGGAGCAGAGCCCGACCCCCCCGGCTCCCCCCTCCTCTCAGGCACTTGTAGGCAGCGATGAGGGCTCCCCTCAGCCTCCTCTGCTCCAGGCTGAACCCCCCCAGCTCCTGGATGAGATCAGAAAACCAAAAAAGAAATGCAGTGTAACAAGCACGTCTTGTGACCGTTTGGTCTGAAGAGGAGCGTGCTGCAGCGAGCATGTAAGCGTCCCTGTCCTGAGGGACGGACACCCGAGGGGCAGAAACACCGTCCTGACCTCCCGGCGCACGAGGGTCAGGAGACGTAGCTCAGCGTGCGCCCCAGAGACCAAAGGCTTTCAGAATGGCAAGCTGTGGGGTATTTTAAAATAGTTGTAATTACCACCTGTACTTACTTAACTTACTATTTCAGTAATGAACAGCGCCATTTTAACAACCTTCTGAAAGCCTTCTGCCTCTTCCATAAGCTGGTGAGTCCGTGCTGCGTTTCCTCACCGTGGGCGCTGCCGGGCTGGACCTTCCCACCGGATCAAGGCGCTCATATTCCCGCTGTTACCGGGGGAGCCGAGGGGCACAGCCCACACCAGCCCTTGGCTGGAGGAGCGGGCTCGAAGCTGCTCAGAGCAAGCGCAAGCTGCGACGGTCTCGGAAATCCCTGCGAGGCTTTGCTGAAGTTGTAGAAGCAGTCGATGGGCCAGAGAGGTGCAAGGCGAGGGCTCTGCCGCGGCGTTAGCCCGGGCGGCTCCCAGCTGCTCGTGGTTACCGACCCAGGCCTAGCAGCGGTCACCAGACTTGCATCTCCTGGGGAAAGCAGAATAAGGGCTGCAAAAGTGTACGCAGCGGGGGCGGTAGCTTCTGTGGGCAATGACTTGCCGTTCCCTGTCCGTGTGCTTCCTTCTTAATTGCCTGATGTTAACCAGAGCTTTCACTTTTCTTCCGTGTGACTTGCAGAGCTGCCTGCGGTATCCACTGCCGAATTGGGCGCAGAAGCTTGCTGAGCAGCTTCTTAAAGGATGAGCTGCGCTTAATAACGAAAAATCCAGCTTTTGCTGTGTCTGGTGACAGTGGGCTTGGGATCCTTGTAACTTTTCATTTCTCTTTCAGTTTATCAACTTCACCTGAAATGCTTTTTTCCCCTTTAATCCTTTTTTTTTATTTAAACGGTCAGATATGTTTGCTGTCCCCTTTTCCCCAGCGCCTCTCGCCCGACTGGCTTGGGCAGGCGACTGAAAAAGGGAGTTCAGAGGGGAGGCTGAGTCCACCTGAAGAGCAGTGGTTGCTGCCTGTTACAACCCAACACGTTTCTCCCGTGTCCGTACGATACCGACTTCCATTTAGCAC